TAACATTTTAAGCGCGCTTATTTAAGCGCTTTTCGTTTAAACGCCCACCGCTACCAACTGGTTCTCCATACCAAGTCGAATATCCTCGGTTACTTTAAGCCGAGCAGTCGACCATACTGTGCCCAGGTCGAAAACCGGATTGGAGAGGAGCTAGTAACTGCCTGGAATATATGAAAGAAGAAATTTGTTAGTAAGCAGTAGCTTCAAGTATTTTGGAGAGGAAGGGAAGAATAGAAATCGGCCTAAGTTATTCAGTTGTTTTGGATTGGAAGTTTTGGGAAGAGGAATAACGTAGGCTTTACGCCAATTAAGAGGAAAGGAACCAGTGAGAAAGGAATGATTGATGATATGTCCAATGATGGGAACAGTAACGTCAAGAATATTAATTATCATATCCCTGCTCACTTCATCGTATCCTACGGCTTTCGACTTTATGGACATAATAATTTTCCTTATTTCATCATTTGACACTGGAGAGAAGGAAAAAGATTCAGAGTGAGTTTGAGCCATGGAAGTTATTATAACAATGGTTTTAGATTTGGTAGCGGGTTTTAAGGAAGCAGAAAGAGAGAAATGGTTATTGAACTCATCAAGAGAGAAGGGAAGAGACTGAGATTGAGAAGAGCTTTTACCCAAGCCAAGGGAACGTAGGAACTTCCAAATATTGACTGAAGAACAATTAGAAATATTGTCGTGAAAGTATTGTCGCTTAGCTGCTCTTACCATTCCATTGTACCTATTGCGTGCATAGATTTATAAATATGCCAGTTCTCCTCCGATCTGTTGCGCTTGAAGGCTCGGAACGCACGGTCCCTCCGAGTCATAGCAATACGGACACCCCAACTGATCCATGGTGCAGGTGGTCGCCTTTGGGGCATGAGTATCGTACAGTTGTAGTAAATGTTTATTAAAGTGAGAGATTTTCTCAACAACTGACGACGACTGCATGACACAAGAAAAGTCGAGCCCAGCGGCATCCTGCCTCAACCTGTCAAGATCAAGCCGAGAAAAATTACGCATCCAGACTAGAGAGGGTTTCGGCTTAGGGGGCTTCAATTTATATTTCAAGAATATAAGGTCATGTTTAGAGAAACCTGGGGCTAGAAATTGTCCATGACAGATCACATCTTCAGCGGAGGTAATTATTAAATCAAGCCATGCATCATCAGAAGAGGGATTGTGGTGAGTTGGCTCGGAAGGCAGAATAGATAGATTTATGGTCTTGACAATATTGAGCAATTTAAGAGACTGTGGCGTATTACGCATGAGATCGGTGTTAAAATCACCCATGATTATGAGATGTCTGTAATCTGTGCAAAGGGGTTCGAGGATAGATTCTATTTCAAAGTAATCAATAGTAGGTGGACAGTACACAACTGCAAGTACAGCTTTAGCACCTCCAACAGAGATCTCCAGGAAAATATACTCAGCAGTGCCAGAATACGCTGTCGGTGATGAAGCCAAAATCCTGAAAGTAATATCATTGCGCAGATAGATGGCGACACCTCCACCACGTTTACCAGTGCGGTCATTCCGGATCAGAGTATACCCAGTGAGTGAGGCAGAGGAAGTGGAAAGACTTGGCTTTAGCCAGCTTTCAGAAATCAAAATGGCATGAATGGCAGAAGAGGAGAAGGTGTCTATAAAATCAGTATAGTGGGAGGGTATACTTTGAGCATTTATATGACATGCGTTGAAGTTATGCGAAGCACTGTCAAAGATTTCACGAAGTTCATCACCCAACGTCTGGGGTTCAGGCTGCGTGTGAAAGCTATTTGACTGGCATAACTTACGAGCTTAGTGAAGGAAGGAACTCTTCGTGTCTGATTTGCCCGCGTAATGAAATTCCGATCACATTTAATCACAGCCACAGTCACACACACACACATAATAATATGTTGTTTTGCGGCAAGCACGGGCGGGCGGCGCGCCGCACGCTGGCAAGAAACATGCAGCGTTAGCGCCGGTTGCGGCGTCTTTGATGATGTGAATTCCGCCCACCTCCCCTCTTCCCCGCACGCGGTGGTTTGCTTTGATTGCATGCAAAGCGCAGTATACCAATCGCGCGTGGGCGTGCGCATCTTTTGACTTAGTGACATACACTGTGATAATTTCATTATGCCTCGGTATACGAACCAAGAATATTTAGAGATGGTGTACTGCTATCGCGAGTGTGACGAAATACGTTTGGTTTACGAATGAGTCCCCAAACCATAGAAGTTGCATTTTGTGCAGTGAGTAGTGACTTTAAAAAAGGTGAAAAGACACGTCCGCAAACGTGCCTACCTTTGTTTGCAGCAAAATGGTGCTTTAGAGCAACAATTTTGCAGATAATAATTTAAGTCTCTTTTTATTGCTAGTGTAAATACTTTTTGATTTGAAACAACTAATTGTGTACTACCAGTGTGATTGATTTGATAAAAAGTTCTAGTGAAAAAAATGAATATGTTCCTCGTTCCTCGTTGTACCTACCTACATCGCCGGTCTCGTAAGTACTTTTGAATACCTGGTTATAAATTTCATTCTGACCCAAGTATTGAACTGCAATAAGTATTTCTTTTTGTTTAACATTTGCCTATTTCCAATCGTGACAAAATTATTATTAACTTTTAAAGTTTTTCTCTGCTTAAGAGAAGATGACATTTGTGCTTATTATTTCAATTTCAATAAAGGCATCTAAGACGATTTTATTGAATTGTGTGAAATCAAAGGAGTCAGCTGAGCTCTGTGTAGAGGTACCTTTTTTTTTTTTTTTTTTTTTTTTTTTTTTTGTTGACGATGGAAAATGCATTTACGCACCGTACCGCGCGCTGGCTGGTCGCGCGGCGTGTGTGGGACTCCCCGGCGCGGAACAACGCCGGTCCTACCCACTAAAAACCACCGGTACCCTCCTACGCCCATATGGGGGCGTCTCAGGATCAGCACACCTTAGTGTGCGCCACTGACCGGGCGACACGCCTCTGGGGGATTGCGCTAGGGTACTAGGCAATCCCCAGACGGGGTGGCCTATGCCGAATGGCACCAAGGGCACGCGGCGGCCAAGCCGCGCCCAGACCACCTTAGGGCCGACGAAGACCGGCAGTCACAGCTGCAAGCCTTCTTCGGCCCACCCGTCTACGTCGGAGGGGAGCGGCTAGAGCATCCTCCTCCCGCTCCCTCTCCGCTGCCTCCTTCTGCACCATCACAACTTCGCAGAAGGAGGCGGCAGCCTTCCATGCCCTCTCATTGCCAAGCATGGCTCGAACCATACTTGGCAATGAGAGCGGTCCTCCGCCGAGCGCCGCCACCAACGTGCGGCGCTCGTTTCGCCAGGCCGGACACACGATCAGCGTGTGCTCGGCCGTGTCGTCGGGGGAGGCGCAGTGATGACACCGCGGCAACTCCTCCCGACGGGCGACACGGTGCAGGTAGTGGCCGAAACACCCGTGTCCGGTCAGTACCTGCACCAGGCGGTAGATGAGGCTGCCCCGCTGGCGCCCTACCCACTCCTCCAACACCGGACGGATCGCCTCGATCGTCCGGTGGCCAGCGGCTGGGTTGGCGAGTGCCTCGCCCCATCGGCGCAGAGCCTCCCTCTGCGCCTGGGTGCGGACCCGTTCGATCTCCTCCCGAACGGGCCGCTCGCCCCGCTCTCTCGCCGCGGCCCTGTGTCGATGCACCTGGGACAGAACCAGGGCATCGATCTCCCACGGGAGCGTACCTGCGAGGACGCAGGCAGCCCCGTGGCTGACCGTGCGGTAAGCCCGCACGGCCCGGGCCGCGATGACCCTCTGTGGTCTCCGTAAGAGGGCCTTTGTGCGGGACGAAAGGCACTCCGCCCACACCGGGGCTCCGTACAGTGCCATCGACCTTATCACTCCATTATAAAGTCGACGGCACGACGCCCTCGGCCCTCTCACATTGGGGAGGAGCCGTCCGAGTCCGGCTGCGGCGGCGCACAGCCGGGGAGCGAGGAGCCTAAAATGCTCCTCGAACCTCCATCGGGGATCCAGGGTCAGGCCGAGATACTTCATGTACATCTCGACATGAACCTGGATCCCCTCAACCCGGACACGGAGCCCCGGTGGCCTGCGTCTTGGGGCATGGAACGCCATGGCCCTCGTTTTATCGAGGGCCACCTCCAACCGCAGGAGGCGAATGCGTCGGACGACCATGGAGGTGCCGACCGACGCAAGGTGGACCGCCTCCTCCCACTCCTTCGCTCCCGCCGCGACAAGGGTGTCGTCCGCGAAGCAGACGACATCCATTCGCGGCAAGAGCGAGCCACGCAGGACCCAGTTGTACCCCAGGTTCCATAATAGAGGGCCTAAAACGGAACCTTGGGGCACACCCGCCGCCACTGTCCACGACTGGACGCGCCCCTCCGCGTCCTCGTAGAGGACTGACCGGTCCCGCAGGTAGTCCCGTACGAGGGCGCGGAGGTAGAGGGGCACTCGGTGGAATTCGAGCGCCGCCTCTATGCACTCGTGGGGGATGGTATTAAACGCGTTCGCGATGTCCAGGGACACCGCGATCACCACCTCCCCCCGCGCTGTGGCCACCTCAGTCCACCTTTTGAGGTGGCCTATCGCGTCCATCGTGGACCGGCCGGTGCGGAAGCCGTACTGGCAGTTTGCCAGATCCGGCCCCGTGCCCTCTATGTGCTCGATGATCCGGGAGGCGATGATTTTCTCAAACGCCTTCCCGGACTCATCGAGCAGCACCACCGGCCGACTGTGTAGAGGTACCTACTCACTCAACGGCTGGCGGGCGCGGCCGGTCGTTGACCCGCGGTGGAATTTTAATGTTTTTCCGTTTTTTAGAAGTGCTTATTTATTAGTTGTTTTTCACTGGATATGTAAGTTTGTTTGTTTAAAATGAATAACTACTCTAGGAGGAAAGGACATAAAAATACACAAATTATAAATAAATAAATGAAAAAAATATACTTAAAAAAAATCCGAAAAAAAATCAGGCATACTCTATACACGTAACCCAACAATCTCACGAAGTTTCATAGAAACATTCAATTTCACCCTATATATATATACAAGTCAATTTTAGGTATCTATATTTTATAAATACTGGTCTTACAGATTCAAGTGGGTCAATTTTATATATAGTTCGCAAACACCTCTTTTGTAAAATAAATGTAGAATGAGCATTTACCGAATTACCCCAAAATATGATTCCGTATGTCAAAAGAGGGTATACATAGCCATAATATGCATTTCGAGCAACATCAATGGAAGTTATATTAGTCAATACTGATACAAGGTAACATTTACTAGATAATCTATTATTTATTTTAATAATATGTGATTTCCAATTAAGATGGGGGTCAATACTATAATGCCTAGAAAATTTGTCTCATTTGCTTGCTCGGTTTTTTTATTATTGATAACTATGTCAAGATCATGTAATTTCTTTTGTAATTCCTAAATTGCATAATCTTTGTCTTTTCTAGATTCACTTAAAGATTTAGGGTTGACAACCATTTTATCACGATATTAAGAGAATCACGTACTTGATCGTCAAGGTTTGAAAATTTGTCTTTTTGAATGAATATAGTGGCATCATCCGCAAACATAACACATAAGTATTTTTTTACTAGTGGCAATTCATTAATATATAGCGGAGACATTAAAGAGCCAATATACTACCCTGTGGAACACCCAATATTACTTGTTCGAATTCCGACTGAACTCTTGTCATGACTTTTGTATTCTTATGTTATTTCAGAATATAATGTTTGTTTTTTCAGAAATAAACGTTTTTATTTATTTAGTTTTTATTAATTGTCGCTTGTTGTCGATTTTCTAGGTATGATTTGTAACAGTTTAAAAGCATTACCACGTATTCCAACATGATACAACTGTTTTAGTAGAATTTCATGTTGGACGCAGTCAAATGCTTTTGACAAGTCTAAGAAAAGACCTATGCATGAATCTTTCTTATCAATGGCTGTTTGGACAGCCAGATTTGGATCTGTTTTAACATTCTAAATATAGCTAATGTGGTATTTTTATTCTTTTGAAACCCATATTGATTTTCATGTAGAATATTATGTTTATTAAAAAAGGAACTAATTCTATTGAAAATAATCTTTTCAAACAATTTAGAAAAGTTGGATAACACTGCAATAGGTCTATAGTTATTAATTTTAGATTTGGAGCCATTTTTGTACAGAGGTTTAATTAGCCCCTTTTTCAATCCATCGGGAAATACTCCGGTCTCTATTGTCAGATTAATAATGTAAGCCATTGGTTTTGCTATCTGTTGGATACTTGCCTTTATAATGGACATATGTATTTCGTCATGGTCAGTTCTCTTTTTATTTTTAAATACTTTTACATTTTTTTTATTATTTCAACTGTATCTACTGGAGTCAAAAAAATGCTATAAGAAATAGATTGGGTCAAAGGTTTGTATGTATTGTCAGATTTGGTTTTAGTGATGTCAAAATGTCTATTGATCATTTTGGCAATGTCAATTGGGTCAGTAATAATTTCATTATCTTTCCTAATGGTATCAATTGTTTGATTAAATATATTTGTCTGTGATGTATTTACTTTAATCACTCGCCATGTGGCTCTACTTTTATCTGTACTCTGCTGAATGTAATTTATGTTTGTTAATTTCTTTGATTGTTTTGTCACATTTTTTAAAAATTTTGCAATATCTTTTATAGCTATTTTTAATGTTATTACACGTGCTTCTTTTAGAAAGAAGGTACAGATATCTTTTTTGTTTACTAGCCGTCTTAATTCCTTTGGTTTTCCAATGTTGAGATTGTCTACAAGTTATTTTCTTTTTTTCAATGGGCACACAGAGGTCATACAAAAGTCGAAATATGTCAATAAATTTATTATAAGCGCTGTTGACGTCAGTTTGATTATAGACGTCTGAAAAATTGATTTGGGACACATAATTTGTAAAAATTCCATAAATTTATTATTATTCCTTCTGTATATAAACCAAAATATAAAGATTGTAATTAATTGTGACTGAAATTGATATTATTTGGCATGTGTGATCTGATACTCCTAGGTCTAAGACCTCTGTATTGTATTGTTTGATATTTGAGAATATATTATCGATGCATGTTTGGGAATGAAGGGTAAGCCTAGTAGGTACATTTATTGTCGGACATAAATTATAAGTTCTGAACATATTAAAAAAAAATCACTTCTATTGTTGACTTGGAGAATATTGACATTAAAGTCACCCAAAACATGTACCTTATTGAAAGTAGATCTGGTTCTAATAATAACTTTATGCAGCAGATTTTCCATATTAGTTATAAAAGTATCAAAGCAACCATTAGGAGTTCTATAAACACATACTCTTAAATGATTAATTCCACTTAGTACAATACCACAAAATTCAAAATGACCTTCAATGGACATATCTGAGATAAACTGCAGTTCACGGTAGTCGACAGTGTTCCCTACAAAAATTGCAACACCACCTCGTTTCTTACGATTCCTACAAAACTGTGCTGCTTTCTTAAAACCATTCAGTTTAAAAATATCAACTTCGTGCTCCTTTAAAAATGTCTCACTAAAACAACACACATGTGTGCATGTGTGTTGTTTTCTGTGTGCATCTTTTCATTTGTCGAGATTTCCAATTGATCTGTTTTTGCTTTAATACTTTGCACGTTTAAATGTAGAATATTTCAAGTGTTATTTTTTATTTTCCCAACACCACCACACACATAATCATTTACAGTAAAATCTCTACACAAAAATCGGGAGGATTTTAATATTTCTTTTAATGGTGCATTGGGTTTTATTATAGTCATTACTCTAAACTGGTTGCCAACCAGTTTTTGTAACGATTTTCCCTTCTGTCTTGATTTCCCAGAACTAAAATAGGACCTTTTATTTACAGATATTTCAATATCGAATAGGAGGATGTCGAGGAGTTCAATGACACAATGAAAAACACTTTCCACCAGCTATTGATGAAGCCTATTCCGTCTTTCATAATGTGCAAAAACTCTAGTTTCTCAAGCTAGAATAGCAAGCTAGTAACAGTAAGCTAACAAGCTAGTACTTCTGGCTTCGAGTAGACAAAACTAGCTTGATTTCTAAGACAAGACAGTTAGACAGTAAAGACAGTTTTTAATAGGATGAATTTCTATTTTTAGGCTAGTATTCAGTTGGATAGTACGCAGGAACCACGCGATTCATTTTTTTCTAACAGCTGTTATATAAATTTCTCATAGGGTCCTTTTAATAAAATTCAGCACCACAATACAAATATTTATGTTTATTACAATATATATTATACACAACGGTGGTTCTTTTGGTCTAGTATGTATTAACATCGTCTACCTGGGAAAGCCGAGACCTGATGGCACCACGGTTTTGTCCACACCCGTTTTTAAATAATTTTCATTCGTCTAGCTCAAATTGGCACAGTTTTCGAAGTAACTGTTTCAGTCGAATTGTGTTTTTTATTCTCATGCAGTTCATTTTGGAGGTGTGGTCAACTCTGTTCCAAGCCAGATCAGCAAGCCAGGTCCGTTTAGTAGAGAACTATCTATCCTAGCTTGAAAAACTATCCTCTTGTAGCCCGGGCATTAGCGGTTGTTAATACCAACCTATCCGCAATGTTCTCACGCAGTGATATAAGCTCAGTTATCCCTATAACCTGTGCTGTAAACAGCAAAGACAACAGGCAGATCATAACATTCTTTACTCACCAAATATTCATGGAAGAACGCGGATATGAAGAAAACCACAGCGCTGGCGTGGACTTTACTGTATCCCATCTCAGTGATCGGTATGTACACGTGTCTAACGGCCCACATGTGCACGGGCATGTTCCACGTGCTCCAGAACACGGAGATATTGTTCGCATTCCACCAGTCAGAGTAGAACTTGCGGTCGGCGAAGTGCAGTAGTTCGCCCATCAGGTTCAGGAACGAATGGAAACTCAGGTAGAAGAAGCAGAGCCATATCAAGTGATTGGGTACCTGAATAGAAGGACCAAAAGTAAACATTAGCAACATTTCCTTGTCTGTCGCACGACTTCATTATTTTTTCAAAGAAAACAGCTAAAATTTTGGGAGTTTCATGCAAATCTTATCATATAAAACTGGAACTGCAAAGTTATACCTATGCCTGAAATGCCTAGTATAATGTGCCAACCATATAGCTATCCCCTATAACAGTACAAATAATGTCATATGATTGAATTTCATATCAAGATCCCGCAAAAAAAAATAGCTGTGTCCTACTACTCTCAATTTAATTATTTCAGAGGGTCTATTGTCTATTGATTTAATAAAGTTTTACATGAAATCAGTTGCTGGTTCTTTTGGTTTTAGGCTAGCATTTTAGAAATACATTTAAGAAATTAAAGATTGCAAGAAATATTACACATGCTCACCGAAAGCTTGAGCAGTCGCTCTGTGATCTTCACTGGGTCCATATCCGAAAAAGAATCTACGGTATTGATGACTGATGGGATCATCCATTGTTGGAACAATGCCAATACAAGGTTTATGCCGAAAACTACCTCCAACAAACGCTTAACCAAAAATCGCTTCCTGATTCTGCAATGTAAAATTTTGATTTGTGTACAAATACCATAAATACCGACAGTACTTAATGGTACAGGTCTCGTCAATTGATGGTGTGACATTTACCCAGTTACATACTAATAGTAGAGGAGCTCAAGCGGGAATTTCAGGATTTACTCCAGCGCGGTAGAACGACATAAAGGGGCCAGCTTGGACCTTGTGAAGTACTTCCATGACACCAGAGTCCTTTATATGCCCGTTGTACCCATGGACCAACCGCATTGCACACCTAGTTGTGCCACGGGTACATGTTGCAAAAATTTTGTCCCCGTGACACGTCTATGTAGTTGGTTCATGGGTACTCTAACAAATTACTGATTCCCGTAGTACCCATGTACCAACCGCATTGCACAACCAGTTGTGCCAAAGGAAAATTTTGCCCCCGCGACACAACCAATTGCGATATTTAAAATTAAATTAAACTATATATATGTATAATAATAGTTTAATACTTACTGGTAGAAAAGAAACCTCTTTGTCCGATGTTTTCAGTATTATAAATACAAAAAGTCTGCTTAAGTAATTATTTGAGCAACTTTTTTTATTTCATACTTATGAAATTCATCAAATCAAAGTAAGAATTACAAAGTTGCTGCCCTTATGTTATTCTGCAGCGATCGAGTAAATCCCGAAATCCATGCTCTGGCTACTATAAGTTATTGTTGGTGCTAGGAATAAATATGCGTCACTGCTACAAATAAAGTTTGTCAACGAGACATAAAATACGATTTGATGTTATTTAGATCTCGGCACTAATCTTGGGCGTTGGGTTTGATTCGCATAGGGTTTTTTCGGATTCAAGAAACGGCAAAAAAATATAGGGATACAAGATACGGAATACGATAAATTTATAACTGGACCGCATACTAAAAATCATTTTCATTGCTTTCTTACATGGAAACAGCGTTGTGGAGTCTGAAGTTAGGCCGCGATGGATCATCATTAGGATATGCAAATGCGACATTAAAAATAGTTAAAATTATAACCTCTATGCAATTAGTATAAAGTTTAAAAATTGTAATATGCATTTTCTCTAATGAAACTAGCCAATCATCTCGCTCAGGATCCATGCATACCTTACACTATACAAAGTTTTTACAAATAAGAGAATTCTTCGAATACAAGCTAGCTACTAGTGATAAAAATTTCTATATAATGTACGCTACTTTAATCAATGCCTCAAACAAGCAGTCACATCACAAAATAATATTTTACGCATGCAAAACTTTATTTTTGGCATCAAAAGAAAATAACATGCAGGACTAACCGTGTCGTGCGTGGGAAATTCAACTCATAGCAGAGCGTGGGGGCCAACAGGAAATAAAACAAGTCTTTCAAATTCAAGTTATCCGGGTACTTGACCAGGCGCGCGGCCGCAATAGCTTCATTCTTGTCCTCATCGAAACTCTCTGAGAAATTGAACTCCATGCTAATTGCTAGGTACTATATTAACTACTCTAACACATACACACACACTATCAACGTCATAAAACACAGCTTAAGCTTTGTTTTGTCTTACACACGGAGGAAAAACAAAGAGGAGCTGGCCTAAGCAACTGTGCACTGTGATTTTCAACTAGGTCCTGACGTCATCATTGTGGGCGGGGCCTAAGTCAGTATGCTTTCAGCGTTCGTCAGGTGCACACTTAACGAGACTCGCATTATAAGTGTTTTTTTGCGTTTTTAACAAGAAAAGGATGAAGTTTTGTGTTTTACTATGTCAAAGTTACTCAGACAGACGTTCTGATAATATGGATGGCATCACATTTCATTTGTAAGTAATTTTATACGTAATTAAATATATAACTTCTAGAACATTCTCAGCCTCAGCTATCAGCGTTAAAATTCTACTACTTGACACCAGATGGCGACACTTTTAGGAAGAAAATACACAAGTTTACGTATAATTTTGCAGTAGTATATTGTAATAATCACGTAAATACTGAAAACTGTTATACACTTATTCCTAAATAACTTTTAGTATCTAAAACAGTAATTTTATCAATATATTACTTACTGGCCGCCATCTGTCGTCATATAGAATAACTTTTTAAACGTTACAAATATCCAGGGCCGTAATACGTATTAAATTATTTTACCAAGTAAATAAATTTTAATTATTTTTATGTTCGTTTTAGATTTCCATCCAACGATAATTTAAAACAGCAATGGATTTCAAAACTTAATAGACCGGATTGGACACCATAGAAGAAGAAGATATTTCCATTTTAAATGAATCTTCTGTGCAAAAAATTAATATTAGTGTCGATTCTGGTATAATTCTCTAAAGCTAAACTTAAATTTGACAACAATGTATCTTCGTCATTCTCTATACAGAATGAAAAGGAGAGACTGATGTTAAATTTAGTTTTAAGTTTAGAGAATCACGCCAGAATTGGCATCATTACATCAGAACGTTATCGCATTTTAAATAAAATGAGTTTCGAGTCTTCGCATAGCACGGATGTCGAGCCTATGCCTGACGATATGTTATTGGAATTTGATGAACAATTAAATACAACTATAGGTGACTATTTGCGCCGTCAAATAGTAGCATATATTTCTGGGTATGTGGTCAAATATTTACATTCCAAGATCAAATGTGAGAGCTGTCTCAAAGAATTATATGCTGATAACTACGACGATAGTGACCTTGATTTGATAAAAACTAAAAATAAGGGTGGTCTTACTTTCCCATCTAGAGATGTCATAAAAATATGTATACGGACCGAAGGCAGTATTCGTTGTGTTAAATCGCAATCTTTGAATACTCCTAACTTTCGTAAACATAAAATTGTATCGAATACATTAAAATCACTTATTGGACAAGATTGTTTCAAAAAATCGGCCAACCATATGTTTGACCAATCACCTACAGTTAATCATGTTGTATTTCTGATGAATTCGATTGCAGAAAAATATATTGATATTCGTTTTAAGCATTTTGCCACAATACAAAACGATAGGGCAACCAAGCGACAACAACTAACCAAAATTATTATTTACAGGTAATTGATGTTTTTTAATAAAATTATGTTTGTAATAACATTTTGTCTATTATTTTTAAACTACCTTAAAATTTAAATCTAAAGAAAATATAACTAGAAAAATATCCACGCGGACCAGGCAGCAGACGGGAGCGGGTGCGGGTTCGAGTCCCGTCTGCTGCCTGGTCTGCCTGGATTTTTTTTCATCAAGCAGTTACATGTTTTAAAATAATAAAAATTATACCTTAAAAATTTTAAAATCGGTCAAATTTGTTAACCTTTATTTTATTTATTTACCTACATAATTCATTTTTTTGAAGCTTCAAGTTCTGAGTACGTCCCATTATATACAAAACTTTTGAACATCTAGTGTTAGATAGCTGAACTACTACGTAGTAACATAAATATCAACCTAAGCTAGTTTTGCTATTAGCCGATAGATGAAATATTGAGAAGTGGGCGGAGCTGAACACCCCGCATCCCGCAAATTATCACGCGTCGTTTCTTGAGAAAATTTAATCACCACACCTCCTCTTTGTTTTTCCTCCGTGGTCTTACACTCACATGTGCGCTTACATAAGGCTTAACACAGACAGGCTGCAAATGGACTGCAAGCTAGCTGCAAAATTGCAGTTTGAGATTGCATTTATCCTATTTAAAATATTATAAATGTAAAGATTTCTATATTTCGATGATGTTACCCGCTCAATTCGTCTACTTCAAGATTGCGGATGGTACGGGGGTATATGAAGGAATCTAGCATACCTCCGGCTGCTTCTCCCGGTAGGTACGCTTCAAGCATTTCCTAAATATTAAAAAATACTCCAGCGAGATTTACAAAAAACAAACTATATAATATAGCCACATTTATATTTGTACGCGGCTGTATTGGTCTACGGAATAAATCATCCGGATTTTAATTTTTATGAATATTTTTGTATCTTTGTTGAGGTGTTCCTGAGGATCTCAGGGTCTGCTAGTTATTAACACGGTACAAATAATAACATACAATATTGTAACTCAGCCATATTACTGATATAACTAACCTAAAAGCGCACGGGTACCTTCACACAATGTTCTGCTACATTATGTTATCTGTATATAACGTGTCTACACTGTGCCCAAACGCGTGACAGAGCTGTGTACAAACAACATTTTTTTCTTAGATTTCAACTTCTGGTTATGTGATTATTATTTTTTGATGTACGTCATTAATGAAATGCGCAAAGGAAAATATATTGCTGTATTTTTTTAATAACACCCACATAGATTACAAGGACGTACAACAAGGAAATATAAAATTATACAATAAACTATTATTAAAGCATAATAAAAAAAATAAAAAACATTAATGAACACGGCAATCAAAAATTACCTATATTATTAAAAAAAGTGCACTTATTGATTACTGCATTATGCCCTAATACTTTTATTGACGTAACTATTAAAGGCCTTCGGGTTTGTATAAAGTTTGAATGCTGTTATTTATACCGTATAGTTATAATTACTGCAAGATAGCTGTTTCTGACTGCAAGCGGCACGCAGTTTCAAACTGCGATTTCCAAACTGGCTACTAATGAGCCTTGGGCGTGCTCTTCCTTATTATGATGCCCTATGATATACTACTTTCCGACTATTTGACGACAAAAAGCAATTTAATCATAATAATTTTATTGTATAGTAATAAGGTTTACATAAATTAATTGTAGCCTCCACCGTGCGTTATGTAACAGTACACCATAGAGATTGAATTGATGACTCTTTTTACATTATATCGTTTTATTACTAATTCATCAGTTAGTCAAAGTGAGCATGTCACTTTGACTAAGTTTTAATAATACAAATTTCTTATAATAGTCCAGGCAACGAATGCTCAAAAACAGGTATAGAGGGAAATGCTTGGAACACAATTTTTGACTTTGTAACTTTGTTAGGACTAGTTAAGAGATAAACATATCAAAAGTCCCCGCCCGTAGCCCTTAAGCCGGGGGGAGGGGGGGGGGGGATTGAACCATTAAGACTGCACCCGCGACGGAAGCTTAAAAAATGGAGTAACTTCTCCCGTTTTCCCAACATTTCCCTTTACTTCTCTGCTGCTATTGATTGTAGCGTGATGAAAAGTATACTATAACCTGCCCAGGAGTATGAAGAATAATTGTACCAAGTTTCGTTAAAATCCGTTGAGTAGTTTTTGTTTCTATAAGGAACATACACACAGACAGACAGACAGACAAAAATTTTACTGATTGCATTTTTGGCATCAGTATCGATCACTAATCACCCCCTGATAGTTATTTTAAAAATATATTTCATGTACAGAATTGACATCTCTACAGATTTATTATAAGTATAGATTTGACTTCGTATAAGATTTGACAAATTGAGAAAATAATTTCATTGCTAAGCTGAATTTTCTATAAATATTAATAAATCACACTACATATTTTAAACAATCACACACGTATCTAAATATAATAGGAAAGCGCAGTTAAGCATAAAGTGATAAAGTGGGGGATTGAAGGTCCCATTTTTAGGTTTTTCGCATATATCTCGGAAACTATGCATCCTAGTGACATGAGACTGTGATAAAAGTGAAAGCTGATTAAATTTCAAAATCATGTCGCTAGGATGCATAGTTTCCGAGATATATGCGAAAACCCTAAAAATGGGACCTTCAATCCCCCCCTTCCCCCCGGCTTAAGGGCTACGGGCGGGGACTTTTGATATGTTTACCTCCTAACTAGTCCTAACAAAGTTACGAAGTCAAAAATTGTGTTCTAAGCATTTCCCTCTATACCTTTTCGTTGCCTGGACTATAATGTGAGTTTTAACCAAGTAACATGCTAAAATCTCTATTGGATGTAAATGTACCTAGAAATTGTAACAAAATAATGGCATAGAATAAGGCAAAGAAATTGTAAATAAAAACATAAAAACTCTTTAAAGAAACCGGCCAAGTGCATGTCTTGCCAAGCGCAGTGTAGGGTTCCGTAGTTGCCTGTCGTTACCACAATATATTTGAGCAGGAGTCTTTATTTTCTGTATCGGAATATTATAATAAATTTAGTTTATGTTCATAATAACCGTCGGCACTGAAAATTATTATCACCAGAAAACGGCTTAAGAATCAAATTTGAATGATATCTTTTAAAACATTCGGGGATGTCGATTATACTCCTGATCGACTTCTTTTTCATAACCATTTAACAAATTAAACCTCACTAATCCTCACTAATCTTAATCAAGAACCTAAATAAAAAAAATGGTTGCCTGTAAAGTCGGTTTTACGGGCGAAGATTTTACGTGACAACGTCTTTTTCTCGGTAGAATATTTATTGATATGAATATAATTAAATTGCACAATAGGAACAAGGAATTGAATGAAAATAAGAATTGCACAAATTTTAACTATAGAAATATATTTTGTTTACTAAAACATTGTACATGTAAACTTAAACTCATCGTAACGTTACCGAGCGTTACACTTTTTCATAAGTGACTCCCAGCCGCAACCTAATTTAAGACGTCGACGACGTCAATAAAAAAATATTCTTATTCCCTAACGCAAAAAACCTAAATAAAAATTCCTCATAATACATTAGACATTCTCATTAGGCGATGTCGATCATACTCCTGATCGACTTCTTCTTCATAACCATTTAACAAATTAAACCACACTAATCCTAGTCAAGATTATTTTCTAATGCGAAAAACAATTATTAGACATTCTTAATAACACAATTAAATAAAATTAAACTATGTATCTCATCTAAAATAGCTAAATAAAAGTCAAACTGCTTCTCACAAACTCAAAATTAATTCGTTATTTTTATTTTTTTAATACGAATGATAGCTGCCTATGTTTTTTTTGTTTCCTCCCAGACGGAGGTGTGGGTGTGAAATCGTCATGGATACCCTAGCCAGCTGTAGGGTTATGTCAGACTCTTACTGACTAAAACACACCCATTGGGGGGTGCCTATCACCATAAGGGCCTTACAGGCTTCGTCTGATGCGATCAACCGCTGAGAAGGGGATGATCAAAATACAAAAAAAAATGTATTTTGATATATATTGCTGTATTTGTTATTTTTTTAGCTCTAGAAAAAAACTAAAACGGTAGTTACGGTGGTTAAGTTAACAAACAATGAAATTATTGATAAAAAAATATTTTTTTTAGTTTACCTATGGAGAAATGCCAATTATGATTTTTAAAGAAAAAATCATTCCTTCACTAATTATTTAAACAATCGAAATATAAAAAAAACGATTATAAACGATAAAAAAAAATAAGGAACAATTATTTTTTAAACATCATTATTTTGCCAAGACAACATAATGGTAAAAAAATTGTTTAAATATTAAGCTTGTCTATTTGTTTATAAACAATTTCTTAACAGATTATGTAAAAAAACATCCAATGTTACTAAATGCCATTGTTGGATACGAAAACAGCAATAATATAACATTTGTTTAAAAAAAATTTTTAGTAACATTTCTTAGACTTTTCATTTTTTGTTAACTTTAAGAAATTATTATAAACTAAATAATTAACTTTAATAAACTTTTATCGCGTGATCTTGTTAAGTATATATATAAGAAGAGCTCCACAGAGCGAAAAATTTATGGGTTTATTATTTAAACTTTTATGTCGTCATTAATGAAAACGGAAATAGGAAAAAAATTAGCTAATTAACAATAGCATAACTTATTGACAAATTAATTTAAATTATTTTTTCAAACGGGCATATATTTTTCAAGTATTTAGATGATACCATAATTTATTCAAATTTTTAAATTAATATCTGTTACTTTAAAAAAATATTTTTATGTGGTACGCTGTCTTTAGCGGCAGTGCACCCATGCCGTAATGGCTGCGCGGAGCCCTATTTTCAGCGTTAAATTAAAATTATTAATAAGAGAGGTAGAGTTCCGGAAGCTGGAACTTTTTTTTCGGAAATTTCCTCCTCTTTAAGGAACTTTTTTCCAAATTTATATCTTAAATATTAATAGTTTATGAGTTATTAACAATAAACCAAATACCTCTTTTTTATCTTATTTTGTTAATAACAAATGAATATATTTGTTTCTTAGGTTTTCACGCACATCACTCATTAAATAAAACTAGTTTTTACGGGTAGTTTAACAAATGAATATTTTTACGTGTAGTAAAATCCTCAAAACTCCTTTTTCTAGCAGTCATGAGCTATTGCTCATATTTTTAAGAGCTTTATCTCTATTTTTCACGTTTTTCTACTTGTTGACTGGACTATATCTCCAAAAACTACAGTTCTCTAGTGCTAACAGTCTCCAAGCAAAGCCGGGGACGGACAGACAGACGGACATGACGAAACTATAAGGGTTCCTTGTCAGGACTACGGAACCCTAAAAACGTTAAATGAGTTTAGTACCTATAAACTTATTCACCTAAATTATTAAAGATAACAAGCAGTGTTATCAAAAGCACTCTTTACACCGAAAGTGGTTAGAAGCAAAGAATATAAATAATATTCATAGACATTACGAATCATCAGTTTGACCCATTAACTCTACCAAAATTTCAACACCCAAACATTGAAGATAAGATACTCATTACTAAATAACAGATAATATATTGACCGGTTGATACATTTCAATAATTTACTAAAGTCTATTTTGTTTTACTGATTAATTGATTTTTTTTCTGGCGTAAACATTTATTTTAGCAACTTTATTAAAGCTTACATGTTATTTGATTAGCAGGAACTTTCATTAGTAGAAGTATTTATTTAATACTAGTGGCCCGCCCTCGCTTCGCTTCGGTGTAGAGCTGTAGTGTAAACTATAGTTTTTGTTCTCAGGCTTGTGCTATAAAGAATGACTTTATTTATATAATTACACGTGTTATTGTGAGTCAACCATAAAAGATAGATATGTCTATCTTTTATGGTTGCGCGGCTGTTGCGGGATATTTTTTAGACAATTTTATGTAGAATATTTCCGTCATACATGATTTCTATGTAACTTTAACCATTAAGACTGCACCCGCGACGGAAGCTTAAAAAATGGAGTAACTTCTCCCGTTTTCCCAACATTTCCCTTTACTTCTCTGCTGCTATTGATTGTAGCGTGATGAAAAGTATACTATAACCTGCCCAGGAGTATGAAGAATAATTGTACCAAGTTTCGTTAAAATCCGTTGAGTAGTTTTTGTTTCTATAAGGAACATACACACAGACAGACAGACAGACAAAAATTTTACTGATTGCATTTTTGGCATCAGTATCGATCACTAATCACCCCCTGATAGTTATTTTAAAAATATATTTCATGTACAGAATTGACATCTCTACAGATTTATTATAAGTATAGATTTGACTTCGTATAAGATTTGACAAATTGAGAAAATAATTTCATTGCTAAGCTGAATTTTCTATAAATATTAATAAATCACACTACATATTTTAAACAATCACACACGTATCTAAATATAATAGGAAAGCGCAGTTAAGCATAAAGTGATAAACAGACAGAAGGAGAGAAGCATCAAACCAACTGACTTACGCTCATGTTCAGCTTGCATTAACTTGTCTGTAAATATCAAAAACCTTATTGAAATAAATTTATATCTGCAAATGTACATATTAATAATTTAAAAAGACTCAATATGTAAAATTAATCATATTTTTTTTTATCAATAACATCAGGCAATTAATATTCCTACTGCTGGGGCACAGGACTTCTCTAATAATGACATAGGGAGAACATGCCCTAACTCACCAGTATCGATGTCTGAAGATGCAGCCGGGACCAACGGCTTACCGTGCCCTCCAAAGTACGAAGGTCAAGATAATAATAATGTTAAGGCACCCGTGTGAATCTCCTAAGGTTTTGCGGTTTATAGTTCCACGTTTGTCTTGCACAGTTTCACTTAAAGTAATGTGTAATGAACAAAATAACGATAAAAACGTTATAATTTGTTTTTATACAATATTGTAAATTAAAAATGTTTAAATTGTGTAAATAATGTCAATTTATGCAACGATGACATGACGATTGTAGAAAAACCAACCGCAAAACACTAGGAGATTCACCCACTCAACCTATGACCGGGCATTGCGACAGTTGCTTACACGATCGCAAACCAAACGCGCTAACTACTGCATCGAGGTCTATTTTATATCGCAAAGAAATTATTTAGTAGCAAAAATATGTTTTAGTTATAGTGGCAGTTAAAAAATACATAAATAAAAATCTCATTTTTTAAAATGTACCCTTATTGCAGTCATTGAAGCATTATTGCTCCGATTTTTTTACTGTGAACCGAATTGCATACAATTTTGGAATTAGGTTCATCTTACCCTTAACTTCAAAAGTGAAAATGATTTGAACTCAGCAACCACCCTGGGGGTGGTTGCCACCCCTTCTCGGGGGTGAATTGATTTTTTTCTTAAAATTAGGCCTTCTATCGGATATCGATAGAAGGCCTAATTTTAAGCACAAAATCGTCTATAGAGTTTTTCAAAAAATCCAATACTTTTAAAGTTATTGGCAATTGAAAATTCGCATTTTTTTTCACGTTTTTCATCGGTTTTTTGCAAATATCTCCAAAAATATACGTTTTATCGAAAATTTTATAAATAACAAAATTGTAGCAGGTAAAACAATGAACAATTTGGTTTTTTATAAAGTATTGTAAATGCAATATTAAGCTAGATATTAAAGATCAAAGCCGCTTTTTATTGTGTCTGAAATTTAATCGATATGGTCAATGCCATCTAGCGGCGAGCAGATGCATTTATGCATTCTAATACAAAAGGGTTTTGTAGTGCTTGAAATAAGCTTTAAAATTAGCAGTAAAAGTCTTTTGCAGGTAAAATAAGTGAGCTGTATTGCAAATAAGGGGAGCATCTAATGTTTTTTCTTTTAAATCAATGGGTTTCATAAGTGCCATTTCCACCAAAATTAAAATTAATCGTATTCCGCCTAGAATTAACTTTATTTTGAAGAGTTTGATAGATAGTATCAGTTTGGCTGCTTCAGGACACATATTTTTCAAAAAAGTCACGATTAAAAACAAAAACAAAATTTCAAATTTTTAAAAAACCCACTTTCGTTTCATGATATCTCAAAAATGACGACAGATACGTATAAAAGTGTACGGATTAAATGAAGGAGTTATGGTCCAAAAACTTATCATATTTTTTTCTACCTAGTAACTGAAAATTTCGGAGTGTGAATATTTGGAGCAATGTGAAAGTACGCAGTATAATAGAGACCCACAACTATTGTAATGTGTATATATATACATAATATGGCTCATATATTTTGGAAACGTAGGCATGAATACATACCAACGTTCTTATATGTATATATAACACATTTGAGTGAAGGGGCCAACGAAAAAGCCATGTGATCAGCTGTGCGTGCTCCTTTTATTCCTTATAACGTGACCGTCTGCAAAGGAATGAGCACGTGTTTAATATAATATTTTAACTAGACACCCAATTTCAATACATTTTGTTTAATAAAAAATGTAAGTAGATAAAAAACCTGTTTTTTTAATAATATCTTATTAAATTTGTGCCATAAAATTATATTATCCAAAAATCTAATGAAAATATATTCTACTAGTATTGACGTTCGTACTATTCAAAGAGCACGATAGCAAGATAGAAAGAGCACTGTGGAACGTGTAGTGGAGATAACTGCCAAAATAGCCCTCCAATTCAGCCAGAAGATGTTGAATGCGACAGCGACTCCGACATTGAGTCATGAATAATAATATTATATTTTAATAATAGTACAATTTTATATAATTTGTAAATATTTTATTCAATAAATGGCAATTTTTTACTCTAAATTAAATTATTTGTAAATATGTAATCATATATATTTACTGTTTTAATTTAGGGGTAGTTTTAAGGGTAGAAAAGCTTAAGAATATGATAATCATTTTCGAGAGTGTGGAATAATATTTAAATCCTTTTCATTTTATCAAAAAAATTTTTTAACAATTTTTTATCAAGGGGTAGTTTTCAAGGCTTGAAAGGGGGTTAAAAATTTGATAATTATTATAGAGAATATAAAATATTACTTACTCTATACTTACATCTTTTTATGTCATACCAAAGTATTTTTTTGTGATTTTTTCAATTAAGGGGTTGTTTGCAAGGGTTGTAAGATTTTCAATGGGTTGAAAATGATTTTAATATGAGGTAATTATGTTAGAAAATACTTTACAATTTCACCACTTACTATTAGACATGTTTTCTAGCGATAAAATGGCTCAATGTCAATTTTTCCATTAAGTGGTTGTTTATACCCCTTAAAAATAATAGGCGGAGTTCAGATCATTTTCACTTTTGAAGTTAAGGGTAAGATGAGCCTAATTCCAAAATTTCATGCAAATCGGTTCACAGTAAAAAAAATCGGAGGTAAGACCGTATTTTTCGCTTCAATGACTGCACTACCTTGCAACTGTGGATAAATCACTGCAGCAATACAACAAAAAATAATTGAGCATAATATTTGGCTGCATTACCCTGTTGGACGGGGGTTTCTTTCGTATCTGCATGGAAAACCGTAACTCTTATGATAATTTACAAATTTTGTACTTATAATATAAAATTTACTTACTCCAATTAGGAGCTGACAAACTCTGTCTCCTTAATTTATTTTTCATCATTTTACCCTTCATCCCTTTGCGACACCAATAATTTGTTTGAATGTAACTCCATAGTTTTAGAAAAATTACAAGATAAATCATGCATACTGTTGAAATTCCCACTGAAAAAAAAAACATTCTCGGTTCCAAATACAACAACATGTTGCAACACACAACAACAATAGGTTGCAGGCAATACCTTGTAATTTACAAAAAAAAATACAAGTGGAAAAACATACCAAAACTAAAGTCTGGGCCTTTGTAATGCAGGACAACTACAGGTAAAATGAGCACAAATAATATGTTGGATAGTTGTAAACCAATACCAATTTTTTCAGGTAGTATATCCTGTAAAACACAGTAAAAATTGAATATTAAAAATTAATTCAATTATTATTATAGATGATACTAATTTGCACTTACAACTGCAATGGCCTTTTCAATAAGTAAACTAGTTACAGCTGGTACGACGCTGACTGAAATAAAGAAATTATAAACAGTGATCATCAATATCTAATATATATTTTTACGGAAGGCACATTAGCCAAAAAAAATTACAATATTAAACACTTCTGTTCAGATTACTACATTGCATTTTATACATTAAAATGCTAGATTTATAAATCTACGGAAAATTTTATTATAAACAAATACTATTCGGTCCAGCCCACTTAGCCTGAGCACCGCGCTATGAAGGTATAACTCGATTTTATCACGCTCAATTACCATGGAATTTGACAGTTACACGTAATAAAAACGTGACATAATGTAAATTTTGGTGCTCATGCTACGGGGACAAGCATCAGACAGGAGGACGGGAATTTCTTTTCTGTGTAACGTGATCGTTTTATTCATTAAAAATACCTATGACACTGATTTACCTACGTATTCTAAGTAGACAGGCGTTCTATCTTTTTTAAGTTTCCGTACCCAAAGGGTAAAGTGGTTACTATTCTTTGTAAAGTTTGACGGATTTGTATGAGAATATGTAAAATGGCTACTTAGAGAAAACGACGTCAATGTCAAATTGAAGAATTCATAAATGAAACATAAGTATTTTAAATGTTTCGTCCAATGTCCCCATTTTAGATACCCAGATCATCTCGCTCGCAACACTCGCAAGAGTAACATGAGACGCGAGTGTATCACTCAGCAACAACTCGCCTGCTTGTCTCGCTCTGACCACGTACTCTACTGGTGCTCGAACGCACGAATATCTACATTGGGTCCACGTATAAACCACGGGAAGGCCACACATAGACCAACTGTCGACAGCATGTGGGTATTAAAAGTCGAGGGAGTAGAGAACGATTCAAACTTAATGGCAGCTGTGAAGTTAGCGCAACTCGAGTTGCAATAACGAAATCTAGGGTAATGTAGGGGCGTGCGGGATGTCACTCTGTACTAGGGTTACCAACTTTTTTCTATCAGATAATAAGCTGTTACTGACTTATTGAGAGGATGATTTAAAAGCAGTCAGCCTTGATTCTCTTTGAACAAAATGACAATCGCATAGAAAGAATGGCCCTTGATCGTTACGGGCGTTTTGTTGCAGGAACATCACTACGATATCATATCAGCTCCTTAGTGAGTAAAGACCCTATAAACAGTATTATTTACACATTTTTACGTTTATCTAACTGTATCTGTTATTAATCGGACAAGAATAGAATTTAAGCTAGATTAATGCTGATAGGGAATTTTAATCTAAGTTCAAGTATACAACGTGTAACAGAAAGTATTTTGTTACAAATAGGCAATTGAATTAACTTCAGCTAATTTGTATTTGTATTTAATCAGTTTAACCATTGATATGTAAATGTTAGTAAAATTATTTAATGTACCGTTACATTTAAAAAATAGCTTTTATTACCTTCTATTATGTATCTATTGTTTATAATAATTAAATTTATGTCAATTATTTGTTCCAAATTTTAGATACTTCTTTGTTGAAATTGATTCAGAAGTCAGTTCCAACCAAACTACTTTCAGAGTGTGCGTTTAATTTTTTATGTTTAAGCAGGCAAACGAACTAGCAGTCCACCTGATGGTGGATGGTCACTGCCGCCAATGGACATTGCAGCTCCAAGGGTAGCACTCATGCGTTGCCGGCTCTAAAGGAAGGCTTAAACGAAAAACCGCTGAAGAAAGTTTGTTCCAGATCTTGCTAGAACGCAACAAAACGGTACGCGTGTATCGCATGGTGCTAGAACTCCAAGCGTCTAGATGATGGGGTTGAAAATTCTTTCTGCGGTGTGTGGTACGGTGAACGAACTTGGCCGCTGGTACCAGATTAAATAATTCCTCGGAACACTCTCCATTGTATAGATGGTACAACACAAACAAGAACGCAATGTCTCGGCGCAAATTAAGGGGTTGCATAGCGTCAGTGAACTCAGAATCATCGATAAGTCGAATCGCTCGCAAACGTTTTTGTCCATTTGAATCCGGTCAACTGGTTTTAAGGTACCTACCCCAGCCCAGAGATGAGAACAGAACTCCTTATGTGGTCGGACCTGTGCTTTGTAAAGCATCGACCGGTGTTTAGGGTTGACGTTTGAAGTTCCCCAAGTATTTTGCAAGCTAATAGTTTAGCTTTTCCTTTCAAATAATCTCGAAATTGAACTTCATTCGAAAAGATGTTCAGGGGGGTGTCCCGGAAATAAGTTGCCGCTACGAAGGGAATATTTTAGCGGTGAATGCACACACTTGTGTCTTTGCGGCCCCAAGACGTCATCAATAGTCGAATTCGATGCCAAGAATATGCCCAAAGTCGTCTGCTTTCCTTGTTTGCGGTGTGGGCTAGAGAATCGTCTGGCTTACGTAAAGGTCGCAAAGATGACCGGCAAAAACTGCCTTGCACATCCTTAGCGAATGACCAGAAAGCACGATTGCCAGGGAAATGGCTCACAAGTCTCATGCCAATTTTGACGATATGTTAAAATTTTGCCCGGTTTATTTGATTTTTAAATGACCATGAGTAGTGATGTGCGCATTATAATCACTGAAGATCACCACCTCAGCCAAAGGGAGCCGCTAGTTATTTCTGTTACACTTGTATATGGTAAAAATAACATTAAAAGTTATTTTTACATAGAATAGAAGGTAGCTCGACAAAATTAAATAAAAAATAATTCTGACGAAGCAGCCTGTAAAGGCTGCGAAACGTCAATAAATAAATAAAGTTTCGTGCACTAACCCGTAAAAAACTAGTTTTATTTAATGAGTGATGTGCGTGAAAACTTATGAAACAAATATTAAATGTTTGCATTTTTTAAATGTTTATCCCGGGCGGGTCATGAAGATCCACAGTAGAAACCATGAATAAAGACGAGAAGATACTATGTGTGTGGGAATCTTGGTAATCGGAAAGCCGTAACGTGCGTCCGTTATACATCGCCAGGGTCAGTAGTTTCGGCAGTCTACCGTTATCTTGCGATTCTTAGCACCCCTTAACCCTGTAACGCCGCCTCCAGTGAGCAGGGCAGCGGGTACCTATAGAACATGGTCGTTATGGCTTGCTGTAGAGAATTGCACATAACCGCCAAGCTGGGATGGCGAGTTGGCCATTAGCGATCGCAGCACGAAGCTATCGCACTAGTGACTGTACTGACCGTTACCAAACTGAGACACTTAGCTACATGTTTAAATGCTTAAACCGCAAACAGAGCTCTGCTGACCGGCCGATATGAGCAGCCAATATTGCAGAGCTCTGTTTGCTATTCAGCAGAGTAATCATGGGCAGGTGAGGTTCACCTTGGCGCAAATAGTTCGTGTATAGCTCTCATATATCTCAGACAATACATTGGTTCACAAAAAATATTGTAATACAAGCACAATCTTATTAACTCTATATGTATATCTCATGGTTGTGTTCATCTAATTGACCGCCCCCCACGACTACAGCTAACTAGAGCCGAGGTCCGAGTCTCAGAGACGCCCTCTAGTTGGGCCGACCCCCTCAGGTTCGAGTGGTCTGGCGGCTCCAGACGGAGAGGAGACTTCCGCCGTGGGGAGACGCCATATGAATGGAATACCTCCAGAGGCACTCGCCAATTCTCGACTTGAGGTCCCCTTAGGATCTCGCCGTCCCCAAACCCGGAGACGCTGTAAAGGTCATCTGCGACCAACAGCATACACACTCAAAAAAAAAAATCTAATTGAGCTTAGTACTAGCAAATGATAATGGACTATTGCTAAAACTCTCTGGTGAGCTGAATTCAATCCTCAAAGCACAACATAAGCTCTTAGTAAAAACTAAAATTGAGCACAAAATTGTTCATCTAATTGATACTAGTACTAGCAAATTATAATAGACTATTGCTAAAACTTTCGCTCAGTAAAAACTAAAATTGAGCACTAGTAGTAGTCCTAGTAGTATTCCTCAAGCAAACTAAAAAAAATAAAAAATTTAAGCAGTCTAATTTTGATATGGTTGGTACCTTGCCATAATTTAATGATAATTATACAAAAACATTAAATACTCACAAATTAAAAGTATGATAGAAGGGTATTGATGTGTATTGCCTTCACTATAACCCATCAAAACTATAATCCACTCCAATGGGTTTACACGTATACCATACCTAAAATTATTTATTCATTTATTTTTCTTTTCTGAGTACAAAGTAAAATATTTTTACTAGTTAAATAGTAAAATACCTAAAATGATGCTAACAGGTATTTACTTACAGATTTACTCACTTTAATATATTTTCCAGGAACAAGCGAACGCCACCTATACTGAGCATAAGAAAACCCCAGTTGACTAAGCCAGTAAAGTCTGCAAACTCTGAACTCCATGAAAATAGCGAGTCTCTGGGTTTGTGTAATCTGAAACAGATACTAAATAATTAATAACTGTTATGAAATTATACTTAAATGTGGGTAGATATATATGAAAAAACAAAAACTTTGTAATTATATATTAATTACAGTTAATCAAGTTTCTTTTAACAAATTCCAAATTAAGATAATGATTTATTAGTCACTACAGAGTTTGCAGTAGCATATATGTATGCTTTGCAATAAACGTAATATAAGTAGTTATTATTAAATGGTTGAAACATTATTTTTCTCTTAAAGTCAAAATATTCACTCATTAGTTTACCTCTAAAGTTATCTTTAAGCAATGGCAAATATATTTCTGCTAGTAAATAATACAAGATACATACGGTTTATCAAACTGCAATTTGCGAGCTTTATTTTCCTTTTCAGTAATTTCTTCAGCTTTTGTTACACTCTGCGCTCTTCTTAACCTTAGTGAGTTTTCTTCTGATTCTGTAGTCATCCTGAATATCTGTACTGAATTTTATTATTTAAAATTTGAAGCACATTTTGGCCCACACTAAATTTACTATGATGATTGACGATAAAATATTATTGATTAAGTAGTTATTTACTTATCTACAAAAAGTAAAATGAGTGAGTGAGCCTAGATCTTGGTAAATAATAGCAATCTGAATAGGATGCACCAAAAATTTAGAAATTATATCCAAGGTACCTATACAATAAGCGGGTGGGCCGTAGATAGTAATTAAGGGCTACTTTCCCTCTCGTAACCTTTCTGAAATCTAAAATGAATTTTATTACTGTGTTGCATGGATAGGAAATTTAGTGAATGAAATCGAGGAACTAATGGATGGATCCTGGATCGTTTTGAGAACATCGATTGGTAATCGATTGACGTTGATAAGTCAACTCAGAGACTAAAGATTGAGAACAAGTGTCAACTTCACAGTCTTTGTCTTTTTTTTTACGATTCTCCCGTTTTAGGGAAGGCAAAGGGAACAATGCCCCTATAGCCTAGTCTTTAGTTATAATGGTTGCTTTCCAATTACAGAGCATAATGGGACTCAGTGCCGCACAATGCCGAATTATGCTGATGCTTAATTGAAACGTGAATTAGTTTTCAAATGCACCAGCAGAGTGCGCTAAGCTCAGTGTTGAAAAAAAAAGTCAATGTTTGTACCTTCATCTATACTTATATTTTTTTTTAACAGTTTGAATTAACTTTTATTGTTTAAAAAAAACTATTTAATGAAACGAAAGTTTTAATAATTTTTCAACAATAAATAATATTACTTACGATAACATATAAATAAAACATTTCGATCAATGCCAACTTAAAGAAAAAACACTTGTTAATTTTCTGTCACTGGGTTGGTACATTTGCACGCATCACACGAAAGCATTACTTTTGAGAGTGCTCAATTGTGCGAAGCGATGCTGTAGTTGGAACACTCAACGTTAAGCATTATGCCGCATAATGCGCTATAATGCTGTAATTGGAAAGCTATCAATAATCTTCTTTTTCTTTTTACATTAGAATGTCAGTGTGAGACATTCTAATATTTCTTGGAGTCTTGGTACAAAATGAATCGAGTTGGCTTTATCGATAAGCGTGGCGTGGCGTAAGCACGCGGTAGCGTGCACTGTTGCCCTACCCTTAGGGATCGGTCACACGCTGGTTCAGAATCAGGATCAGACTCAGAAAACAAGCGCGAGAAATAGACATTGTAGTTTAAGCAGGGTGGCCATAGTGGCAGCAGGCAACTGGTTGCCCGCGCAGGGTTCGGAGTCAGAGACTTTACCGGAATGTTTAGGTCATTCTTGTTTCAGATACTGGATTCACCAGCACTTATCGCGAAACTTTTTCTTAACCCTGCTGTAAGAGATAAAATTTATTATATTACATTCTAAAACGCGTATTGCGTCGTAATAATTGGTGGTTTTCCAATTACAGCACTAGCGCGCATTATGCGGCATAATGCTTAACGTTGAATGTTTCAACTACAGTGACAGAAAGTTAAGTGTTTTTTCTTTAAGTTGACATTGATCGAAATGTTTTATTTATCGTTAGTATTATTAATTATAGTTGATTTTTTTTTAAAACTTTCGTTTCATTGTAGCTTTTTGAAGTTATACTTCTTTAGGCGCGTTATGAAAAAATGATGAGAGTGAAATTTTAAGATGCGCGCGCATCACTGTAACCCAAAAATTAACAGCATGAAGTTGGTCACTTTAGCGACCAACTTCATGCTGTTACTTTTGTGTTTACCGCACATTAAGAAAATCTACCAACAAAATAGAAATAGAATCTCTATTTAGTGGGTGCTAACGACTGCATTGTGAAGGCCTATCAAAAGTATTTATTAATCTGGAACAACGGAACCAAAGCGCGATTCAGGAGACTACAGCGCCATCTCTTGACCATTGGTGTAGTAGAACCAAAATCCACATCTTTATTTTTTGTAATAAAGTAACAGTTATAGGTATTCATATTTATAATATTTATCCACATGTTTCTAGTTTGTATATTCGGAATACGTGTTTGAGTTTCATACAAGTGCAAATCACATATGTTCTAATAAATTATATTCAGTAGCGATTTTAATTGAATATTTTGATTATTTATTTATTTTTTCAAATTAAAACTGAACTTTATTGATTGTGTCCTTTTCCAGACTTTTTATTAATTTATTGTAATTAATTATTTGCATGCAATTAAAAACTAATTTTAAACGATGCCAAAGAAGGATAACTTCTCCCGCGCCTACATAAGTACACGCACCCATTTTTTTAAATAATCAAAGTAAATTCAAACTGTGTTAAAAAATAAATATAAGTATGGATGAAGGTACAAAAATAGACTTTTTTTTCGACACAGAATTTAGCGCACTCTGATGGTGCATTTGAAAACTAATTCACGTTCCAATTAGGCATCAGCATAATTTGGCATTGTGCGCCACTGAGTCGCATTATGCTCTGTAATTGGAAAACTACCATTGTTACAGAAAGTATAGCATAAAATGTTATCATAAATTAAACAACAGGCAACACATATCTACAGATCTTTTTTAGATATCCAATCATTCCATGATATGATTGCGTTTTAAAAAAATATTATTAGCTTTAAATTGTTACGATCGCGCGTCTTGCGTCCGCGTCTGGTATTATTTGCATCCACTGCGGCCATCACCTGCTTTCCTCAAGCTGACATCTCACGACCTTGTTTTCTGAATCTGAACCTGATTCTGAACCAACGTGCACTGTGGTCGTACCCTAAGGCAAGTAAAAAGCCTTTATCTATAGAGGAAGGTAAGGTACCTACTGTGTAAGTAGGTCCCACGCTCGTCCCACCTAGGGTTACCATTCGTCCGGATTTATCCTAAAATGTCCGGACTTTGTCCTGCTTTTAAATTTGTCCGGATTTTTAATTACATGGAATATAAGTAAAACTATCTATTAAGTTATATCAAATAAGTCAAATAATCTTTATTAAGTTCTCACTTATTTAAAACAAAATATAAATCATCTTTAAAAATCAACAACGAGACCCCCCTCGCGATGCGAGCGTCTGCTACCACGCGTATAATATCACTGTAACTAAGTAGGTGATGTTTGCATTTTGTGTCTAAAATATCCGAACTTTTATCAAAATGTCCGGCTTTTTGTCAGGACTTTTCAAATTTTTAAATAGTAACCCTCGTCCCGACCCACGTACAAGGCTGTTAGAAACAAAATGAAATTATGACGTTAATTACGTTACATTTTCAATGTGTCTAAAATCGTAATTAATAGCCGCATTGCCATGAGAATTAGACAAAAAAAAAGAGAAATAAAAATTAAGTACAGTTTGTCTATCAAGTCGTGTCATTAAATGATGGGACCACTAGTATGCATGTAGCAACCCTGTACAGTCTGACCAAAATGATTTTGATACTAGCAGTTCATTCAAGTAAAATAGGTAATTAATAAGACACACTATTCAGTCGTATTTTGTTTCTGTTTTATATATAGTAGGTAATTATGCTTATAAAATGTTTAGCTAAGCATATTTAATTTAATCGGAATAAAATTATTATAGATAAATAAAGTACTATACTTTATAGTGTAAAAGTGTGTAATGTTGGTGATTACCGCTGAGATGCCATTGAGACCAGAGCCGTTAGGTAATCATACAAGTATCATCATTCAACGTTTTTTATTAACACACTTGTTAAGAAAATAATACTAAAAACCATTAAAAAGTTTATTTAGAGAAACAATTTGTACATGTGCAGTTAGTAAAATTAGTGATAGGTATATTCACTAAAAGCATCTGGCCATGGTTCTTTATGTGACCATTTCTTTCTTTGGTCAGCCTTGCCTGTTTTCCCAGGAATTTCAAACTTTCCATCATTCTTAAAACCTTCGTTGACTATCCGACTCTCTGATTTTCCTGAAAAAAAAGTAAAAAAATATTTAACGGAATAGAAAGGCTCAGCTTTCCATTATATGTAATTGAGTTGCAAGCTGAAATTTTTGTCACGCAAAGTATTAACTATTAAAAACACGTACACAAAATTTTTTTAGGCGGAAACGAATAGAACTCGAGAAAAAAAATATTGAAAATTAATATTTTTGTAGGTTATGAGGCAATTTTGATCAGTGCTGTCATTTTTTTATGCAAAAATAACATGTTTCTCGTTGTCTATGGTAAATATAAGTTTAGTTGGTACTATTGCCAAAATGTGACAATTTACCGCCATTAATGAGATCTGTCAGTCAGTGTTTGTGTTAGTCGCAGTTGAGAGCTTTTTCGTACTCCTGTTGATATTAACATCGTCTGACTACCATGGCATCCTCAAAGCCTTCGGCCTCGAGTTCTGCTGTCCCTTCGCCTGAAGAGTCGAGTGTAGTGCGAGTTTTGGACTGTAATGAGCCGCTTGTGTGGTGATACTTTACACTAGGTTTGGTTAGGTTAGTGTTGTGACCTTAACGCGCGAGCCGAGCGAGCGAAGCGATCGTGCCGCGGCAGCGGCCGGCGAAACGCCAGAAATAAAAATTCGTTAATAGAGACTTTTTCTACAAAAATATCAAATATCACCTCTAGGCCCTGGAAGTACAGTTTTACCTTTAAAACCCCTCTAATTTTTTATAATTATCATTTCTGTAAAAAAAAACCCGGGATGGGGGGGGTTACCCTTCCCTCTGAGGGGTCTTCCATAATACCTATCCTCCTGAAATTCCACTACATTTAACAGATTTAATGAGTTTTTAGGTTAGGTAAAAAAAAATGCATTTCCGCCAAAAATCTTATATGGCGGGGGGGTCGGAGGAGCCCCCCCCCCTCCCCCCCCCTATAAATTACCCCGAATTTCAATTACATATAATGGAATTAAGTACCTTTACAATAACTTATTGACATGAAGCAATTAATTCAAAATTGGTAGAAAACCTGACCGAGTTGAACCCACAGACATATAACTAGTAGCAGACGGAACATTCAGTTTTAAACAGCGTGGCAAATACACACACATTGAAACTCACCAAAGCATGGGCCGCATTTAGTATAGTAGAATAATGGATTTCATTATTGTTTCATGAAATACCTATCCGAATAGATAGGTCCTAATGTGATGTCCATGCTAATAATATTATAAATGTAAAAATCTGTCTGTTTAATATCTTCATGGCGAATTTAGCCAGGCGAAATCGCTGAACCGATAATCATGAAATTGAGCACGGAGATAGAATTAACCCAGGGAAAGGACATAGGTACAATTAGGAAAATTGAAATAAAAATGTAAGGCATAGTTTTTATCTATTTATTTTGAAATAATACAAGTTTTTTTAGAAAATTTCTCTGAGATATATTTGTTTTTTTACATTGATGTTTACATCTAAGATCAAAATAAAATTTGACAACAACCTTAATAAGCA